AAATATATTATTATTAGATATGTAAACATGTCAGATATCTTTAATTTTAGTAATATTTTTTAATTTTCCTATAATAACTTCATTTAATCATCTTCAATATTTTTCTTTCTTTTTTCTATTTATTATTCATTTATTTATTCATATTTTTCTCTTGTTATCTTCTTTTGATCTTCAGATTAATCAAATCTTTTATTTTTTCCTCAGTTACTCACTTAACAATCGCCGTATATTGATATATTGTCGAAAATAACGTAAATAGCGATAAATTCTCTTTAATATCTCGCAAAGTTATGAACGTTTAGCAATTATCGAATGTAGGTAAATCTAGCTTATACATAAACATATCATTCATTTCAAATTGAACTATTCGTATGTATTCTTTTTTTGCTTGTCACACTTGAAAGATGTTCTTATTTTTGAAGTAGAAAATTTAAGTTGGTTGTTTTTCTTTGAAACTCTTGTAGATGCTAGATCTTTATAATATTTTGTTATGAACAATATTTTTTCGTCTTGATTTCAATATTTTCTCGATAAAAATTTGAAAATTTGATAATAATATGTGAGTTTTTCAAATCTTTTATAATACGTATCTCATACATATTGTTTTAAACATACCTTTAGGCGAAAGACATGAAGAAAAGCAATGCATAGAGATTTTGTTTCCATTAACGGACAAAAATAATTGTGTGTCATAATATGCGCAGTTCTCAATTTTGCGCATATTTAATTAATATACATATCAAGTGTACGGAGGCACTGCGTTCCACCTTACCCTTGATATGTGAATTTGACACTTTACAAAACCGTTAACGTATATTTTACAACACAAACGACAACACTAACTTAACCTTAAATATTTACAAAGCCGCCAACCACTTCAACTCACTAACGTTTTCACAAACGACTTCACTAATGTAAAAAATAAACGTTCTCACTTACAAAAGTATTGCAACTCCTTCCATTGCTGTGCTTCATATAACAGCTCATAATCTTCTGACTCACTTTCTTCTTCATATAGGTCAAAATCACTGTCATAGTTTATACCTGTAAGTTTTGACAAAGCTAATGAAACACGTTTACCGTTTGTATCGTATGCTTGTATAAACTTTCTATTCTTCATTCCTTCATAAACGCTCAAACTAACTTTACCTTTTCTCCCTCGTATCTGATAGAATGTATTTTCACGAGGAACGAAGAACAAGTTCTTGAACTCATGACCGTTGTAGTTTGTTATCTCAATAGTTTTCGTCATTTATATAAAAAGAAAGAAAATCCATTACGTATAAGATTTCAAATCTCTGAACCAAGTGATGATTTCGTAAATGTTTTCAGTGTCACCACGTCACCATGTCACCAGGTTAATTAACTTCTCTTAAAATTACTGACAACATGACATTTAGACAACAGTCCAGGAAATATATTTTATCGTTTATGTTTACGTTAATGTTTTCATTAATGATTTCGTAAATGTTTTCAGTGTCACCACATCACCATGTCACCATGTTAATTAACTTCTCTTAAAATTACTGACAACATGACATTTAGACAACATCAACAAAGGAAATTAAATCGTTAATGTTTTCATTAATGATTTCGTTAATGTTTTCATTAATGATTTCGTTAATGTTTTCATTAATGATTTCGTAAATGTTTTCAGTGTCACCACGTCACCATGTCACCATGTTAATTAACTTCTCTTAAAATTACTGACAACATGACATTTAGACAACATCAACAAAGGAAATTAAATCGTAAATGTTTTCGTTTATGATTTCGTAAATGTTTTCAGTGTCACCACGTCACCATGTCACCATGTTAATTAACTTCTCTTAAAATTACTGACAACATGACATTTAGACAACATCAACAAAGGAAATTAAATCGTAAATGTTTTCGTTTATGATTTCGTAAATGTTTTCAGTGTCACCACGTCACCATGTCACCATGTTAATTAACTTCTCTTAAAATTACTGACAACATGACATTTTGACAACTGTCCAGGAAATTTGATGCAGTCCAAAAATAAAGTTAGTTTTAAAATTATTTTTATTTTTTTATTCCTATATAAATGACAGCAACAAACAACAACAGCAACTTTATCATTTCTGATGAAAAAGTTATTGATTCATTAGCTGAGGAATTAGTTGTGGCAGAAACTAAAACCCTCAACGAAAGAATTGGTGAAAATAAGATTGATTTACATAACTACCTCAAACATGATGGAGGAAGAGGAGGAAAACTGGTATGGCTTTATTAGTAAATAAAATTTCAAATTTAACGATTATAGATGTTGATATCAATAAATCGTACAATGATGAACTTAAAGAAACAGTTAGAAAAGACATTCTATCAAAACTTTCGGATAAAGATGTTATCGTTAAAACCGCTTCAGGATCTTCACATTTATTGTAACACTAATTTCTTCTATTCAACCTCGAACAGAATGATTAAATGCTATTCCTGCAATGATTATGATATCGATATCATGACTTCTATGGATGATTCAAAGCGTTCTTTAGTAGTTATGGCTGATTCAAGAGTTCGAAAGAATGCAACAGAACCAATCAATACATACTCATTCATTCGTGGAAGTTATGATTCAACATTAACTAGAACAGTGAATGATATATTAAATGATTTGAATATTAAGGTAAGAGTTGAACAGAAGAACGAAGAAATAAAGACTATCATGAATGAAAACAAAGATGTAAACATTGACGATAAACTTGCCCAGAGCATAGTTGATGGTATTAGTGATTTTGAAGTACATAATGACGGTGGAAACATGAATTTGGAAAAAGAAATAACATTATTCACACTGTTTCAAGCAATTAATTCGTTACCTAATCATTTAATTAATGAAGCATACGATAACGTTTATAACTTCTGCAATTTAACTGAAAATGCAAAAAGTAATTTTGAAAAAGCACGTAGTAGATATGCACATTTAATGACTTCTCCATTTGTTTTGGTGAAGATTCTAAACTATACCAAAAGAATATTTATGATGAATACGTTTTACCTTTATTACGTAAGCCAAAAATACATTTGATATAAAACTTGATGACTCGTTTTTGATAACAGATATTAGACGCAAGGCTGAAAATCATCAGTATAAAAACAGTTCTGAAGTAATTGAGGATTTATCACGTGTAATCCGTTTTGTAGATTGTGGAAACAAATACTTCATTCAGAAAGATTACAACATCCACGACAAAATGAATCAAATATCATTCGTTCTTCAATCAAACATGAAAGAGTCACTTAAAATGATTAAATTATTTAAAGAAGGTAAAACCATAACAGCATGGGATGTACTACTAAATCAATTATCCTCATTAACCGTTAAGGGTGTTTGCTTTAAATCTGATTCTCCAGATGTTTTCTCAACGTTTCAAGGTTATAAATACAACGTTCTCGAAAAACCAGATTACTCAAAAATCGAGATGTTTATGGATTTCATTAAAGAAGCCATTTGTGATAATAATGATGAAGTGTATAAATACCTTCTCGGTTGGATTGCATCAATGATTCAACATCCTGGAATCAAGAATGAAACAGCAATTATTTTGAAAGGACTTCAGGGAACAGGTAAAAACAGATTTACAGACATTATTTCTGAACTTCTCGCTGGTTATTCATGTAAAAACATTACTGAAATAAGTGAGCTAACGGATAATTTCAACTCAGTAGTTGAAAATAAAATGTTTCTTGTACTTAATGAACTCAAGAATGTAGGTGAAGACAGACTCGCAAACTTCAACGCTTTGAAATCAATTATAACGGATAATGAGATTAGAATTAATGAAAAGAATCAACCCAGAAGAACTGCTCAGAACGTTGCAAACTTCATTTTCGTAACTAATAACATCTACCCTGTCAAAATTGAAGTTGGAGACAGAAGATACGTAGTTTTAAGGGTTAATGGTAAATTCAAGGGGCAATTTGATTACTTCAAGAATTTAATGGATTCATGCACTAAGGAATTTTATGATAATTTACTAACGTATTTTATGCAATATGACCTTTCATCATTTAATGTACGAATCATACCGATGACTGAAGCCAAACAAGATTTAATAGAATTATCAACAAATCCTTTAGATGTATGGATAAATACACATTATGATGAATTGTGTGCAGGTATGACATGTAAAAATGCTCTATTCTGCAAACCATCAGACATGAAAGACAAAAACTTTCAAATGAGCATTAAGGATAAATGTGATAGGAAACAGAGAAGAATAGATGGTAAACAAACATGGTGTTATGTTTTGAAAGAAGAAATGAAAGGATTATATAAACAGATTGAACCAAACGATAATGATGATTCATTTACTGATGATGAAATACCTGTAAATGAAGCTTTATAAAGTATGATTGGAATTTATTTTTGCATTCAACCCATGCTGTGATGTCAAAATGTCATGTTGTCAGTAATTTTAAGAGAAGTTAATTAACCTGGTGACACATGGTGACGTGGTGACACCATCAGTTATTCAAAAATAATTCATAAATGCCTTCCTCCTTTCGTACCTGTTGTCTAAATGTCATGGTGTCACCACGTCACCATGTGTCACCAGGTTAATTAACTTCTCTTAAAAATGATGACAACATGACATTTAGACAACACAGCAGGATTAATGCAAAAATGAATGTTATCGTTTATGTTATCGTTAATGTTATCGTTTATGTTATCGTTTATGTTATCGTTAATGTTATCAGTGTCGAACATAATTGACATGGAGCATTTATGTTATCCTTAATGTTATCGTTTATGTTATCGTTTATGTTATCGTTTATGTTATCGTTAATGTTATCGTTTATGTTATCGTTTATGTTATCGTTAATGTTATCAGTGTCGAACATAATTGACATGGAGCATTTATGTTATCCTTAATGTTATCGTTTATGTTATCGTTTATGTTATCGTTAATGTTATCAGTGTCGAACATAATTGACGATCAGAACATTCTCTGTTCGTGAATGATATCATGACTTCATTCTTCCTCTTTGAAGTTATCGAAATATTCTGTTATTTTTTCCTTCAGTAATGTTAAGTCTTCTTTGAATGTAAGTATTGTACAACCTTTGATGTCATAGTGTGTTTGAGGAAGAGTATTTTTGACAATTTCCTTTATTTGTTCATTCGGAGTCATTGAAATCGGTAAGTTTTCACGATAGAACCAGTTTCTGTCAGATTTATATATCTTAGCTAAGTCATAAAAGCTTTTGTTGTTTCTTCTGACTAAATGTAACATAACCATATCTCTGTCTTCTTCTTTCTCCAACTCTTCAGTATATATCATATACTTATAACTCTTTTCCTTTCCTTTTGGTACTGAACGCGGTATTCTTTTCTGTATGCTTTTGTCTTTGGATTCAATGACTTCATCTTTTGCATGAAGTTTCTTTTCCATCTCTCCACGTTCTGCTTTATATAGTTCATCTAACATCATGAAAATATAACAAGCATAACGAGGTGAATCCCACATTGCTACAGCGTTTACTAAAAGTCTATGAACATAATAACCTTTCAAACAAGGAGCCAAATTCTTGCGATTTTCATACGGAATCTCTTCCCTCGGAAAACCGGGGGAAGCAATCATATGAGGAAATTCTTCTAAAAGTTCTTTTGTCTGTTGGTTTTCAAACCAATGATATGCTTGCTTTGTAGAACGAAGAGCATTTATTATACTTTGCATTTGGTACATGTCATCTTTGACTGAACGAATGAGACGTAACTGTTTGTTATACTGTATGTACTCGTATTCTTCATTGATGGCTTCATGAACGATAGCAGTTGTTGTGTTCTCTGATGTTGACATTACTGTCTTTACATAATAAAGCAGAACGTGGAGAGATGGAAAAGAAACTTCATGCAAAAGATGAAGTCATTGAATCCAAAGACAAAAGCATACAGAAAAGAATACCGCGTTCAGTACCAAAAGGAAAGGAAAAGAGTTATAAGTATATGATATATACTGAAGAGTTGGAGAAAGAAGAAGACAGAGATATGGTTATGTTACATTTAGTCAGAAGAAACAACAAAAGCTTTTATGACTTAGCTAAGATATATAAATCTGACAGAAACTGGTTCTATCGTGAAAACTTACCGATTTCAATGACTCCGAATGAACAAATAAAGGAAATTGTCAAAAATACTCTTCCTCAAACACACTATGACATCAAAGGTTGTACAATACTTACATTCAAAGAAGACTTAACATTACTGAAGGAAAAAATAACAGAATATTTCGATAACTTCAAAGAGGAAGAATGAAGTCATGATATCATTCACGAACAGAGAATGTTCTGATCGTCAATTATGTTCGACACTGATAACATTAACGATAACATAAACGATAACATAAACGATAACATTAAGGATAACATAAATGCTCCATGTCAATTATGTTCGACACTGATAACATTAACGATAACATAAACGATAACATAAACGATAACATTAACGATAACATAAACGATAACATTCATTTTTGCATTAATCCTGCTGTGTTGTCTAAATGTCATGTTGTCATCATTTTTAAGAGAAGTTAATTAACCTGGTGACACATGGTGACGTGGTGACACCATCAGTTATTCAAAAATAATTCATAAATGCCTTCCTCCTTTCGTACCTGTTGTCTAAATGTCATGGTGTCACCACGTCACCATGTGTCACCAGGTTAATTAACTTCTCTTAAAATTACTGACAACATGACATTTTGACATCACAGCATGGGTTGAATGCAAAAATAAATTCCAATCATACTTTATAAAGCTTCATTTACAGGTATTTCATCATCAGTAAATGAATCATCATTATCGTTTGGTTCAATCTGTTTATATAATCCTTTCATTTCTTCTTTCAAAACATAACACCATGTTTGTTTACCATCTATTCTTCTCTGTTTCCTATCACATTTATCCTTAATGCTCATTTGAAAGTTTTTGTCTTTCATGTCTGATGGTTTGCAGAATAGAGCATTTTTACATGTCATACCTGCACACAATTCATCATAATGTGTATTTATCCATACATCTAAAGGATTTGTTGATAATTCTATTAAATCTTGTTTGGCTTCAGTCATCGGTATGATTCGTACATTAAATGATGAAAGGTCATATTGCATAAAATACGTTAGTAAATTATCATAAAATTCCTTAGTGCATGAATCCATTAAATTCTTGAAGTAATCAAATTGCCCCTTGAATTTACCATTAACCCTTAAAACTACGTATCTTCTGTCTCCAACTTCAATTTTGACAGGGTAGACGTTATTAGTTACGAAAATGAAGTTTGCAACGTTCTGAGCAGTTCTTCTGGGTTGATTCTTTTCATTAATTCTAATCTCATTATCCGTTATAATTGATTTCAAAGCGTTGAAGTTTGCGAGTCTGTCTTCACCTACATTCTTGAGTTCATTAAGTACAAGAAACATTTTATTTTCAACTACTGAGTTGAAATTATCCGTTAGCTCACTTATTTCAGTAATGTTTTTACATGAATAACCAGCGAGAAGTTCAGAAATAATGTCTGTAAATCTGTTTTTACCTGTTCCCTGAAGTCCTTTCAAAATAATTGCTGTTTCATTCTTGATTCCAGGATGTTGAATCATTGATGCAATCCAACCGAGAAGGTATTTATACACTTCATCATTATTATCACAAATGGCTTCTTTAATGAAATCCATAAACATCTCGATTTTTGAGTAATCTGGTTTTTCGAGAACGTTGTATTTATAACCTTGAAACGTTGAGAAAACATCTGGAGAATCAGATTTAAAGCAAACACCCTTAACGGTTAATGAGGATAATTGATTTAGTAGTACATCCCATGCTGTTATGGTTTTACCTTCTTTAAATAATTTAATCATTTTAAGTGACTCTTTCATGTTTGATTGAAGAACGAATGATATTTGATTCATTTTGTCGTGGATGTTGTAATCTTTCTGAATGAAGTATTTGTTTCCACAATCTACAAAACGGATTACACGTGATAAATCCTCAATTACTTCAGAACTGTTTTTATACTGATGATTTTCAGCCTTGCGTCTAATATCTGTTATCAAAAACGAGTCATCAAGTTTTATATCAAATGTTATTTTTGGCTTACGTAATAAAGGTAAAACGTATTCATCATAATATTCTTTTTGGTATAGTTTTAGAATCTTCACCAAAACAAATGGAGAAGTCATTAAATGTGCATATCTACTACGTGCTTTTTCAAAATTACTTTTTGCATTTTCAGTTAAATTGCAGAAGTTATAAACGTTATCGTATGCTTCATTAATTAAATGATTAGGTAACGAATTAATTGCTTGAAACAGTGTGAATAATGTTATTTCTTTTTCCAAATTCATGTTTCCACCGTCATTATGTACTTCAAAATCACTAATACCATCAACTATGCTCTGGGCAAGTTTATCGTCAATGTTTACATCTTTGTTTTCATTCATGATAGTCTTTATTTCTTCGTTCTTCTGTTCAACTCTTACCTTAATATTCAAATCATTTAATATATCATTCACTGTTCTAGTTAATGTTGAATCATAACTTCCACGAATGAATGAGTATGTATTGATTGGTTCTGTTGCATTCTTTCGAACTCTTGAATCAGCCATAACTACTAAAGAACGCTTTGAATCATCCATAGAAGTCATGATATCGATATCATAATCATTGCAGGAATAGCATTTAATCATTCTGTTCGAGGTTGAATAGAAGAAATTAGTGTTACAATAAATGTGAAGACCTCCTGAAGCGGTTTTAACGATAACATCTTTATCCGAAAGTTTTGATAGAATGTCTTTTCTAACTGTTTCTTTAAGTTCATCATTGTACGATTTATTGATATCAACATCTATAATCGTTAAATTTGAAATTTTATTTACTAATAAAGCCATACCAGTTTTCCTTCCTCTTCCTCCATCATGTTTGAGGTAGTTATGTAAATCAATCTTATTTTCACCAATTCTTTCGTTGAGGGTTTTAGTTTCTGCCACAACTAATTCCTCAGCTAATGAATCAATAACTTTTTCATCAGAAATGATAAAGTTGCTGTTGTTGTTTGTTGCTGTCATTTATATAGGAATAAAAAAATAAAAATAATTTTAAAACTAACTTTATTTTTGGACTGCATCAAATTTCCTGGACAGTTGTCAAAATGTCATGTTGTCAGTAATTTTAAGAGAAGTTAATTAACATGGTGACATGGTGACGTAGTGACACCTTCAGTTCTTCAAAAATAATTAATTATTGAATAACCTGAAACCATTTACTCACAATATTTTTGTACAAAACGACCCCAAACTTTTAACTTCTTTTCTGCAGCTTCTAATGCTATCTTAGCGAGTTCATATTCTCTAAATTCTCTCTTTAAATTTTCTTGTTCCCATCGGTCTAGTTCGAATGGAGAATCTCTATAACCATAACATATCTCACGTTCATGTTCTAATTGTTTTTCGCGCATTTTTCTAACTTCTTGTTCGGACAAAGGTTTAGCATTCTCTACTGTATCTTCGAGTTCTTCTTCATCTAATTTCACATGAACTTTCTTGTCTATGGAATCCATAATATCTTTGACATAAAATGCATACTTTACAGAGCACCATTCAGCAACAAAATGAACGAGGTCAGGATGTATGTAAATACCTTTGAATTCATTTATAACACCCTTTGTAAGCTCATAAAATGCTTGTTTTGAGGTCGAGCCACTTTTGGCTCCACCGTATTCTTTCAACCAAAACTCAAGAATTTCCTGCATTTTAGCACTATTGAGAAATCTGTTTAAATGGTTTAACTTTCCTACTTCTCTTGCCATCTTTGTTGCATTAATGTAACCATCCTTGTCTCTACGTAAGACTTCAATACCGTTATAAGTGCCTTTTGTGAATGTTTCACCATTAGATTTGTTAGTGAATGTTTTTGCTTCGACCGACATTACTGTTCTTACATACAAAATAAAAAATAAATAAAAATAATTCATAAATGCCTTCCTCCAGGACTGTTGTCAAAATGTCATGTTGTCTCATTTTTTCAGAGAAGTTAATTAACCGAGTGACACATGGTGACGTAGTGACACCTTCAGTTATTCAAAAATAATTAATTATTGAATAACCTAAATCATGAGACTTTGTCTCCGGACTCTTTGAGTCACTTAACGTAAACATTAACGTAAACATTTATTTCTGCAGTTCATCCATTACTTCATTACCTAATTAATTACAGACATAAAATATATTTAGTTCATTCGGTAAGCCTAGACCCTTTGGGTCAAGTCTCAAGTATGTTTATTGAACGCGGTACCATGCAAATACAGTCACAAATGGTGGCATATAATCTTTACCCGAACCTGTTGGATTTGTTGTGAAAGTATGGACATGATTTCCTCCTGGTTCAGTTGGTCGAAAAGTCTTTTTTGCTGAATGGTTATAATCTGGAGATAAAACATCATAGCCAGCTTCATATTCTGAGTTGTATAATGGGTGGTCTCTTAATGAGTGGCTATGGTCGCCAGAAAAGTTTGTAGTTCCTGTATGAGTGTGTGGTGGAAGGTTTGCTTCTTTAATTTTCTTTGAACCACCTGTTTGCTTTGAATATCTAGCACAGTATAAGAATTTATCTACAATCTGCTTCCACGTACCAAAACCTAAAACTTCTGAAGGATTTGTTGAGTTCATTGACGTATAAATAGAACCAACAGGATATAATGTTTGAAGTATTTCATTTTTCATGCTTGTAATCACATCATTTACTTCCGACTTCTTTGCATAATTTTCGTTAACATAAGTTTTATCTGCTTTAAGGTCTAAACATCCTGAAACCCATGCTGTATCGGCTTTAACTTTAAAAGTCTCAAATGTCCATTCATGATACCATTCAACCTTTTCTTTAATTTCATTATCTTTTTCATCCACATAAACCAAATTTGCTTTATTCATTATGTCATTTAGGAAACCTTCTATGAATTCCTCATTTAAATTAAATCTTCCAATCTTCAAAACTTTAGGAAATGCATTTAATGCGTAATATCTCTGTTCTTCTGGTGGAATTGATGTTATATCATCCGTTATTCCTTTAATTTTTGAATTCATAAATAAAATTTCTTTTATATTTGATATCACTGCACCACCTTTGCAAACGAATTCGAAACGGTCATTTTTCAATACTATCTCCAAATCTCCATATTTCAACCTTTGCGTTTGTTCTGCCGTCTTTGAATTATATGCATATATGGCGTATGTAATGGTCTGAACCACCTGTTTGCTTTGCGCCTTA